TCACTTAACGCCCGAGTCCCGATGTTGTCGTACATTACACACATAGTCGTTCGAATGCTGGAAAGGCCATCGTGCAGCACAGCGCTTAGACAGCGCCGTATATGAGCAATTCTCCAAATGAAACGCATTTTTTGAGGTAGAATCGCGACAAATTTTTTTTTCAACCTACGTGGATACAGACCCCCGGGAAATGTTTTTGGGGGTCCTAGGAACATGTAACCACGTAGGAACCATTGAAATTTCGATAGTGCTTATTTTTATAGCTACTTTTGTGATTTAGAGGACGAAAAATCATGTTTTCTCGTAAATACGGCTAATTACTCAATTTCTAAGTCGCTGAAAAAGTATCAAAACTCATCTAAAAAAAATAACTGACTACTGTGTTCGATAGGAAATTTTCTCAGCTTTCCAATGGTGGTATCAGATTTTCCGATAAATTGCACATTCACCGAGAAAATCACCATCACACATTGAGGGCTAAATATGTCGAAAAATTCAGTACGGAAAAAGTGAACTTTTTGGATAATTGTTGATTTTTCCTTGTGAAAATGAAATTTATCGAAAAATCTGACTACACCATGAGAAAGCCAAAGAAATTTCCTATCGAAAGCATATCTTTATTTATTTTTTCGGTGGAATTACAATGTTATACATGGGAATTTCTTTCACGTTGTTCGCTGTTTTCTGTTTCCGAGCTGATTCAGCGCGGTCGCGAGGTTTTCGGCTCGCTACAATCAAAACTAGCTCGTAATTCCACCGAAAAAATAAATAAAGATATGCTTTCGATAGGAAATTTCCTCAGCTTTCTTATGGTGTAGTCAGATTTTTCGATAAATTTCATTTTCACGAGGAAAAATCGAAATTAAACCTCAAAGATCACTTTTTCCTTACCGAGTTTTTCGAGATATTTAGCTTGGCACTTTTGATGGCGATTTTCTCGGCGAATGTGCGACTTATCGGAATATCTGATACCACCAGTGGAAAGCTGAGAAAATTTCCTATCGAACACAGTAGCCAGTTATTTTTTTTAGATGAGTTTTGATACTTTTTCAGCGACTTAGAAATTGAGTAATTAGCCGCATTTACGAGAAAACATGATTTTTCGTCCTCTAAATCACAAAAGTAGCTATAAAAATAAGCACTATCGAAATTTCAATGGTTCCTACGTGGTTACATGTTCCTAGGACCCCCAAAAACATTTCCCGGGGGTCTGTATCCACGTAGGTTGAAAAAAAAATTTGTCGCGATTCTACCTCAAAAAATGCGTTTCATTTGGAGAATTGCTCATATATATATACGTACGCCGTGCAAGTACATTGCAATTGAAACGGAAATTCGCGCGCGCTCCACGATGACGCTCGCAACTAAACATTCTCACTGGCTGCGGGACGCGTAACCCAAGTAACCCGAGTACTGCATAAGGTGAATTTTATTGGTAATAAATTTGGCGCTTATGGGGCCGACCTTTACCCGCAGCGAGTTATACTCGCATATCTCGCACACATACTCGAACAATAGACACGGTTGTTGCATATTATCTATGGGCTCGGCGCGTATTCCGAAGCTGCACGTGCTGCGACGGGACTCGCGCGCCCGATGATTCAATTTGGAGCGCGCGCGAGAACGGCTGAAGCGTCGTACATGCGTCTTGGAAAAAGAGAGAGAGAGAGAGAGAGAGAGAGAGAGAGAGAGAGAGAGAGAGAGAAGGATCGCAAAAAAGTTGGCAAGATTTTTTTCCCTCTGAGAGCCCCGCCGCCACCGCCGCCGCCGCAGAAGAGAGAGCTTTCTCGTGTCCGATAGCGCTCGAGATCCGCGCCGTTTGCGAGGGTGAGCAGCGGCTTTCTTTTGCTTCGGCTTTCAGCTCGTACACGTACTTTATGTGTTATGGGGACTAGGGCGGATCGTGCATGTGTCTATATACCCCCGCTCGAAGTTGTGCCGGAGACATGCCTGCTTTCGATGCGAAGAATGGATGATGCTCCTAATGTCTTCGGGCGCCGTTTCGTTCGACTCGCATTATGTGCGTGTGTGTGTGTGTGTGTGTATGTTAAAACTCGTGTCTCTGTGAAAAATTTCTACTCCGCCGGAGGAGCCTCGCACACAAGAGAGCTCGTTTGCCTTTGCGGAAATCGAGAAAAAAGTACGCGTGAAATGTGCGAGACAAAGTCCTATATGATATACGACTTCCCTGCTCGTCTTTGTGGAAAACGACTCGAACTGTTATGAAGTGTATTTTCGTCGAGTGGAAAAGTTCCGTTCTTACGGTCAGCTGACTCTTCCTAATTGAACCTATGATTCGAATGTTCTGCTACATTATTTCTTTAAATACACATCGTACTACGTTATGATAATATATGACGAATATGATTCACTCGGCTGTGATTTCTAGTTAAAAATGTCAAGTTTCCATTTCCAAAAATTGTCGAGTTTTACGATCTTTATTCGTTGCAAATAAACTTACAAACATGGCAGTAATGTCGGCGTTTTTTTAACGGATGCACTAATAATAGATTTTATTGCAATCGAAGGAAAAATTGGAGTAATCTGACGATCATTACATTCTGATTACAGGCTGAACGTTTTTTTGTGGATCTGGTAGACAAAAGGCTTCAAAGTGTTCACACTGGAGAAATCATATTATCCATTCGACCTGTGCAGGTGACGTACAAATTATTTTTCATATACCGTTTCGACTATTTACCGACTCAAGCAGCACCAGCATCTTCGGATTACAATTAATTGGTTTTCAATTTGTTCATTCCGTCGAGTAAACGTAAATGAGAAACAGACGCACACCTGTGTTTCAAGTTCGGAGCGAAAGATGCACGTGAAATACGCCTCATTACTTGGAACTATATCTCTCGATCGCAGCAAAATCCCACATAACAGTTAATTTTTTGTTCGCCAAGCATAAATAATTCGCTCTCGGCAGGCTCTTGCATACTCGAATTTTCGAATCGATGATAAAAAAGAAGGCAGCATTCGGCCTCACGCACATATACTGCGAATATTATATGGCCAAGGCGTCACACGAACGCTGCTGCTGCTGCTGCGGTTTGCTCAGTTTCTCTCTCTCCCTCGCTCGCTCCCATGCGCAAACACGAGCATAATACACCGTTTTTCATTCTTTAAGTTCAAGTTTACTTATCGCGCTCTCATTACGCCTGACATTTACGAGAAGCTGTTCATCTTGAGCGCGATGTATACGCGCGCGTGTATGCGTTGCGCACCGGCAGCGCGTCGTCGGTCGCTTTGTTTTTATTCTTTTTTTTTCTTCTTCCTTACGTTATGCATTATTATTATAGCGCGTAGGGTATTATATACATGCATAAATGCATATATACATGATGCATTATATAGCTGACGCTTCGTTCGCTAATGTATTACAGGTTATCCCGCGTGTATTCGGCCGCAACCCTGGCTGGCGTACAAGGTGAGTCGCATTTATCATGAATAATTTATCTGCTTTTATTTGCGCGTATATATACAGCTGCCTATGCGCGCGTTTTCTATCTAAGCGAGTAGCGCGCGTTGAGGCTGCTCTATGTACGCGCGAGATTGCACAGAAATGAACGAAGGACGGAGCATGACGCAGACTGATCTTGACTGACCGATCGCGCGGCGAAAAAACAAAAACGATCGCAAAATCATTTCGAGCCGCAGGAGAAAAAGAAAACAAAGCCCGCGGATCGGAGATGCGATTCTCGCGAGAGCGGAAGTTTCGAGCCAATCGGATAATTAATTGAGGCTCTCCGGCCGTTGGATCGCGACTGGCCCGCGCGCCTATACATACATTATCCTATATAAATGCTAGGCGATCGCGCGGAGGCGCTTCTGCGGGCTCTGCGGAGCTGTTGTCAGACCGTTTTATTTTATTGCTCGTAAAAGTACCGAGATTTAGACGCGGTAGCAGCAACACCGCGTCTATATAATATATATACATGCAGCCACGTGCCTCTGCGCTATATCATATATAGACATGCGCCTGTGCGTGTCTGCGTGTCTGATCAACAAGGACTCGCACTATTAAAAATGCCTCCAACGATCGAATTGCGAATTTCCTCCGCGGAGGAAAAGGAGATGCTCCCCGGGCGCCCAATTTAATATTTATTCTTTATCTGATATGCTTGGGATTCACTCGAGGGCCTGCAGAAACTAAAGGAGAATATTACGGGTAATCCTTTTTTGCATCTTTTGTTTTTGTTTAATTTTTCTTCTCAAAACGAGGCGCGTTCGAATCAATTTCGTAGCTACGGTTCGTTGCTAGCCAAACATCCCCCGCAAATATCAAAATATTATGATAATCGGGAAAATTCATTGATGTCGAGCACGTGCTTGATCGACATTAGCAGCAGCAGTCAGCGGCCGAAACTCGTAAATCCATCAGCTTGATTTTGACGCGGCGCAGCGCAAGTTAAATAAGCTCGCCTGTATGTATCAGCGAATCTATTGCGCGAGCTCGCGAAAGCTCGACGTATATACGTATAAGCTCTGGCAAGTTCTGTTTGACGTCGAAAAATCTTTTAAAAGGCTGCGTGGACGGTCTAGCTTTTTTGCAGAACGCGCACGAGTCGCGACAGAATTATATACGACGAGTTTTCGTGCGAGTGTCGCGTGCATTTGGGCGATATAGCAGAGCAGCTTATACAAAGGAGAAGGAGTCGCGCGCGGGCGAGTGAGGAGGGAATGCAAGCGACTGGCTTGCTCGAGAACGGCTGGTTTCCCGCGTGAAAAAGAGGGAGCTTAAAATACAGCGAAGGAAGGAGAGTCGGAGTCGAGTCGAGTCGAGAGAGAAACAAAGGAGGGGACGGCGCGCGAGAGTAGGAGAATATCAGTGAAAGGTTCGCACGAGCTAGCCCGGGTTCGCGGCAAGTCCGAGAGATAGCGCTAGGCTCGGTAACTCGCGGGGCCGTGAGCGAGCCCGACGGCTGCCGATGTTGCTGCTGCTCGTAGCTCGGGGCTCCTTCGCGCGCGGGCTGAAACACGCCAGCCGCGCGGCGCAGTTTAGTTCTGGTCCGAGAGGCCGAGCGTGTAGATAGTCGTGTCGCGTCGTGTTCAGAAAGAGAGCCGCGTCTCTCGAGCCACAACACACTCGACGTGCAGTGTCAGACGCGCGAGGCACACGCACATACACGCACCTCTACATATATGGAATATCATAGCGCACGAGCGCTGCCGCTGACGACGCTGCTGCTGCGTAGTCGTTTCGCAAGTATCGTCGATATTCGGATGCCGCTGTGTTTCGTCGCTGCTTCTTCTCCTCGCAAGGCTTTCTCGAGTCCGAAGAGGCGCGATTACGTGCCACCGCTGCTGCCGCCTCCGCCACCACGACCTTAGAATCTTTTAATCCGCGGCAATAAAACAATTAAAACAGAAGAACGAGAGAATCGCTGGCGCTTTATGATAGCTTACCGCGAATAAGTGTTACATGCTGCTGCTATGCCCGTGCGAACATAAAAACAAAAATCACACCTACGTTCGACGTGTTGACTTCAAGCCAGTGTGTGTGTATGTTTGTGTGTACTTTATGACAGTGATATACGGTGATTGTTTTGAATCAGTGACAGCGATCGAAATCGGTGTAAATATTTTGCATTGGCTCTTGGCTGAAATTATCTCTGGGTTCATTCGTGAATAGTCGCGTTGTGTACGCGAGACAAGGACAAATAGACAAACTGTGATATTAGTTGCGACTATACAACTGCAAGCAATCGACATCGATGTTGTGTTTCAAAAAGTGAACATCGATGCAGTCAATATTGTTTAAAGTTCTTCGTTCATTTAGTGCAATTTAGTGAATATTTTAAATAGACTATTGCGCTCCGACTCATTGACACTACACATGTGCATATCGAGTGAAAGCGTCATCGTCGAACATTTAGCCATATAATACATGCAGTAAACTTATGTAAAAGAAAAAGTTGAATCAAGACACGGTAGCTAAAGTGAGTCTGTTTCTGTTCTGTTTTATTCTCGTCTCTGGAACGCTGTGTCGAAAAAAAATCAACCTTATCCCATCCAATGGACCTACTCCTCAACTGATCATTACATTGGACTGGACTGCATCGTCACTGGGATCGTCTCTGCGTGTGGCTGCTGGCTGCAATCGTCGAATTTCGCATCCGTCTCTCGCGCGTGTGTGTGGAAAAACCAAAACGCTACTCTGTTCGATATCCGTGTGTGCTTATGTACACGCGTTGCTCGTTACCTCGCGGCTCGCTCATCCTTCAACCCTTTCCACTCGATCGTCTGCGGAATTTCGCTTGACATCGCTGTTGCTGCCTGTCGAATAATCCCTACCCTCGATCCCGTCGACTGTGCCCCTGTCTCTTTTCCTTCTCGCTTCTCTCTTATTTCCTTGCATTCGTCTGGCATCCCCTCCATCTCGGGTCTCTCGACTCGTGGCCTGCTCACGCACGCACGTACACACAAACATTCGCGTCGTTCTCGTCGTTCTCGTTTGACATCATCATCATCCGTGGCGCAAAAATAATAATCTCTCACCGACCATGACGCGGGCCCGTCGTTGACGACATCGAACGACGATTCATCAACGATCGCCGCCACACATCCTCTATTAACTGTGCTGAAAATCGCTAACTCGCCTCTCGGCTGGTCGTCCCTCGTCGCGCTCTAATCTCGTCTGCGCTCGTCGCCTCGATCATCGGCTAACTAACGTCAACATCGGTCGTGCCAAATCCGCGCGATTTGCACCATCTCCGACCACGTGGCGTGCTCAACGGCCACCCTGTACGACAATGTGCACGCGGTGCCGCTCTGCGGCGCCGGCGTTGCCCACCACCCTGCCTCCGTCACTCCAATGGGCACAGCCACCGGAGCGGGGAATTCCGCCGGGTTGACCTCCTGGTGGAACATGATGAATGGGGCGCCGTACGAAGACAGTCCGCCACCCGTGACGGCGCCCGCCACATCCCTGGTTCCCCTGCACCAGCAGCACCAGCAACAGACAGCGGTCAACCAACAGCAGCAACAGCAGCAGGCGGCGGTCAATCAACAACAACAGCAGCAGCAGCAACAAGGCTCCAGCCCAACGTCCCCGGGGGTCCCTTCGTCGGCTGCGACGAACCAGCAGCAGCAGCAACCCGCACCGGCCTCGTCGTCGTCGCCGAGCGCCTCCTCGGTGGCATCGAACGGCACCACAGGACCGCTTCACATACCGGCCAAGAGGCTAACGGCGACTCCGGTCGGTCAAACCAGTGCCGGTTCGGCTTACGGCGACGTCGGCTGCGAGCCTAATGGTGGAGTGATACGGCACTCGACAGCGGGCAACGGCCAGGGTTGGTCCAATTACAGTCCTCACCACCAGCAGGCGCAAGACGGCCACTACGTGGGCAGCGGAGCCGACTCGTTGAACCATCACCAGTCGTACGGGGGAGCGAACCCTCCGACCTACTACACCAATCTGGCGAACGATCCGAGCACGACCCCGACGCGCGATCGCAAGGTCGGACTGAACTTCTGGTCGCCCGTAGGAGCGTCCGGAGCCACGACTACTGGAAGCGGCTCGGCCGCGCTCACGGCCACCACGACGGAGTACAAATACAATCCGGCCGCGGCCGGCATAGCCACCACGAGCTCGTCGACGGGCTCGTCGAGCGTAGCCGCGGCCACCGATCAGACCGTCAGCAGCCACCCCAGCTTCTCGCAGGGCTGGGGCAACTATTACGCCAGTCCTCGGCATCATCACGGTGGCATAGACGGAGCTGCGTTCGGGGCGCACCATCACTCGCAGGCCTACCTGACGTCCTCGACGACTGACGATAAGAGTCGCGTGGCGTCCATGGCAGAGGCTGCTTTCTCACACGACAGTTACGGTGGACTTCGGAACTACTGCCCGGAACCAGTCACCTCCAGCCCTTATCCACCACCAGGTATGTATTAATTTTTTACCCGCTAACTTTTCCTCCCAATTTTTCGTTCAAGCAACAACAACGTCTAATCAGCCCTATATTTGAATGTATTATACCGTATGGTTAATTATGCCGAAAAACTGTTTGCTCACCGAAATCCCTCCGAGTCCAGTGTTAATACTGTATTGTTTGGGCACGCTTCATCGACGATAAAAGGCGCGAAAGGACGCGTATACAAGCGTTAAGCAGCTCGTCCACGTGCTTGCCGCGAGTCAGGGCATTAAAAAACATTTTTGTGGCCCGTAATATAGCCGATGAATCGTGCTCTCGTGCACGGCTGTAAAGCTTCGCGGGGGATAATTGTCGTAGTAAAAAGTCATCGTTTGCCCCTTCCCCCTATCGCTTTAAGGATAGATCTTTTTTCTCTTAAACGTACGGTGTGTATAATCGTGGCTTTTTCGCACTTCAAAGTCTCGTGCCAGCTATACATGTAACATCTTTCCCTCTCCTCCCCCCTCGAGCGAATGAAAAAGAGAGAGAATGAGAAAGAAAAGGTGAGCTCGGAGCTTGTCATGAAACGACATAGAGGCAACGCAACGGTGGCGGCGAGTTTATTGGCGGCCGTAACTCGTAAAATCCTGTGTATATGTGGTGTGTTGTGCGTGAGCCTCTGATCAGCTGATTTGTTTCACGACCAATGTTTGTGTTGTATGAATGATAGTACATTAATGTATACAAAATTTCCCATGGCAACTTTCAGGTCTAGAATAAACGTTTCTCTGCATACTATTAGTACTACGCGATTTTTCATTTAGAATAAAGAATTTCCGCTTTATTCAAGTCTTTTTTTGAATCCAGCCTAGTACCGCAGACTAGCTAATGTTACTCAGATTCGTTTACCTTTGCATTTATTTTTAACATGAAAGGAATATTTTGATTATAAAAGAGATGGAAATTTGTGCGGGTGCCCCTGCATACGTCTACGCGTGAACGTACGAACTGCATATGCGAGATGCACGAGATTCGGCATTGTTTATTTTTGAAAAAATCTTCATGATTAATAAGAATGATAAAAATATGTTTTTACATAGTTAGCAATAAAATGAAATTCATATAATGCTACTTTAGTTTTGTCATTTTTTTATTTTAATAAAGAAAAAAAATAAAACTGATATAAAAATTACAGCACTCGAGTAAAAACAATTGCGCGAAAATTATGAGAGACGAAGCTCAGCAATTGCGTCGTAGTAGAACATGTACACATCAATAGCAAGTACGTATAGGTACACTCGAACACAGAGAAACGTACGCGCGCCACCGATGATTTTTCCCAGCACCGACAGATGGCGGTTGTACTATCACTTTGACGGGACAAGCTGAAATCTCAGTCTCACGGTCACTCTCTTCTACATTTTCTTGCGTTCGTAGTAGAAAACCGAAGGTGTGAAATGCCGTGCAGCATTCAAACTCATACGTGCTTCTATAAAGAGTTGAAGCTGCTTTGATTTTTTCCAAGTATTACTTTCGATTGCAGTCTCGTTTACATTTCGACAATTCAAATTCTATTCCTTTTCTTGATCGAGGAAGTAACACTTTTTCCATCGATTTCTAAAATCAAAGTAAAAGGAATATTTTCAAGATGCATATCGATCATTCACGTGTGCAATGATAAGTTCTTCAACTTCAAAGAACTCGCTTATGCAACTAAATCTTATTTGACCTCATTAATCGCGTGCAAAAACATACTCTTGACGTTCCAATCGAAACTGAGCACGGCTGTTGAGCCAGCCTTCGGTAAAAATAGACCGATCATTTTACTTTTTTTTACTAATAATTTACGTTTTTACACTATTTATTTGCAATTAGGAGGATACTTTTTTCTTACTAAATCCAGACATTTAATGGAGTCCCCGTATATCAATTGTAATCGAGTAATAGGATGTTTTGGGTTTACTCCAGTCATCTTTTCATATGCAGAGTAGCGTAGACGTGCTTCGGAAGCATATCTCATTTCGACAGAAATCTCTTCAAAGCTTTGGAAAGTATGCTCACATATGTCAAGTCCGCGGTTAACCCTTATATTGTATATCGCACGCAGCGTGCTAGCTATATTTATTTATTATACAAGTAGATTTTCGGGCTGCTTCCGCGAGTAATTAGAATTTAAAAAGAGTCGGTGATATAATGCCACGGGAGATCGACTGGTTCATCATTGTTTGTCATTTTCTCATCTATTTTATGACACTATTTAATGATCCATTGTCTTTCGTGCCTCACCAACGGTTACGTGTAGTCGCTCGCTTGCCTTTTTTTACGGACATCTGTAAACAAATAGCGCGGGAGAGAAAAAACCCGTTGGAAATGATCCACACTCGTCTCTGCATCTACGCGCGTACTTACGAATAAAAAATATTCCGGGAGATTATGTACGCGAGAGCTTACATTGTGGCAGCGGTAACACGTGGTACATCATAACGCGTACATAGCATTTGGAACGTATGTATATACGCAGAGAGTCCCTGACGTTTGGCGTTTGCATCCATATAGCTCCACACACGGCTTGCCAGACATAATTTACATATTTCCGCGTTTTACTGGGCGATAAATTCTCTCGAGGGAGATGCATGTGTGGGCGAGAAAACAAAAGAGCCGCGACGCAGCCTCTCCGGCGCGAGTACGTATCAGCTTTTACCGATAATGTCGTGACAATTGTCTCGATAGCAGCTTATTTCTGCGGCTAAAATCTCGAGGCGCTAATGGAATATTCATCGATCTCGAAAAAAAACTCATCAGTCTTTCGACACATGCCGACACTCTTGAACTGAATAATTTTCTCGCTGTCAAGAAAGTGACTGTGTCTCAAAAACGTGACGCGCGTCGCGCAGGTATTATTGTTAAAACGACCCGCTCCGGACTCGCTGAATTTATATTACTGATTAAGAAAAACATCTCGAGCCATTTCCAAAGATCAAAGTAAAATTCATTAATCAACTTGATACCCGTATCTAAATTAAATCAGAGTAAAAATCGATGATTACGTAGGTAGGTCTGTTAATGGCCCTTTATACACGCGTCTCAATTTCAAATATTATGAATATGTATAGAAAAATATGTAGAATTTCCTCGAGGCTCGTGCAGAAATGATGAGCGGTAGGCTGCTTTGAAGTCGTAAGTATATAAGTATGACTGTATCAGCGAAATCTCAAGCCTCTTATGTATGCGAATATACCCATATTCTCTCTCTCTCTCTCTCACTTGCCGCTATATATATGCGTGAGCAGCGCACGAGTACGTGTACTAACCGTGCGCGAGACATCCTACTGTATCTCTCCTTCTCTCATGTTGGCAGACTGGCTAGTATAATATACACGTACAAATACGCACACTGCGGCACAGAGCTCGGTCCAATTATATATCGCGCGCTTTACGCCGACAAAACCGTGCCGCGACGAAGCGAGCGAATGCGAGCGACTCGCTGCACACACGCATATAGCCTCGAATTCATATGTGTATGTGTGTATATATTTATGTGTGCAGCTATGTCTATACTTATACACACACACACACACACACACACACACGCGTGCTTACGGCAGACTAAGCTTAATACCCGGAGTCTATGTGCACTCACGAAACTCGACAAATCACCGTTCGTTTTTCAAGTATCGTCCGTGTTTTGCAGTTGTATTATCGATACTTTATCAACTCGACAAGGAAAAAATTTCTATTTTACTCGTGTCAATTTTTAGTCGAAAAGATTCGGTACTTCAATGAATATTCGACCAATTTGCCATAAAAAAATACCGATGTAATTAACATTTTTCCGTCAAATCTGCTTATTTAAAAAAGTATGGATCTGCTTTTAAATTGAGATAAAAGTACCGTTATCCAGAACTCTGATGCGTGAACAGAGAGAGAGAGAGAGCGAGAGCAGTGTAAGAGAACCAACGAAAATAAGTAGTCGAGTATAAACAAGAGCACTAATTGCTGAGACCGATGGAAAAAAACACCCCCTCACGAGAAACGAAAATTTACGACTGCCTACGATAATGATGATGATTTCGAGTCTTTTCCACTGCGTACGAGCACTCTTGTTGTACAACAAGTAGCCCTTTGCGAGCAGCAAAGCCGCGAGCAACGATAAATTATCCTTCAATACGTTTGCATTATATAGGCGTATGGATATTACTGACACCAAAACAATCGAAATTAATTAACAATTTAATTTCATCAAACGATCGAGTTCAGTAAATTTTGATCCTACATTATTTTTTTGTAATACCTATAGTTAATTAACAATGTCTCGAAAAAGTAAAAATTTGTTGTTGCTGAACCAAAATATTTTAAAATATCAATTATTGAAATTTATTCTGTTAAAAGTACGAGCCGACTAACTGTGTAAAGTGATGTGGGGTTCCTCCCCATCTTCTTTGTTTCCAGGCAGTTCGATCGGCGTGAACGTTGGAAATTGCGTCGTCGCCATGGGCTCCTGTCGAGCCGATCCCAACCCGCACGAAACTTGGGTCGCTCAGGCATCGCAGCGCAAAAAGCGCAAACCGTACTCGAAATTCCAAACGCTCGAGCTCGAGAAAGAATTTTTGTTCAACGCTTACGTGAGCAAGCAAAAACGATGGGAGCTAGCGAGGAACCTCAACCTAAGCGAGAGACAAGTCAAGATATGGTTCCAGAACAGACGGATGAAGAACAAGAAGAACACGCAGCGCCAGGCCCAGCAGTCCAACAACAACAACAGCAACAACAACAACAACGTGCACTCGACCAACGCGAACCACCTGGGGGTCGTGCCGAGCAGCCATCCGGCGGCGTTGCACCACGTGAGCCAAGCGCACCATGCCAACGGCTCGAGCAAGCACCACCATCAGTGACCCGTAGTTTTCTCTGGAGTCACCTTCGCCGGTGGCTCCAGCAGCTCCGGCGTAAGTAGCAGCACCTCGAGCGCCGCGGCTGCTGCTGCTGCTGCCTCGGCGGCTCAACACTCGTCGTCGTCGTCGGGTGCCGGTGGCGCGGCCGGTGCCGTCGGGGTTTCGGCCAATGCTCTGCATCAGCACCACCAACAGCAACAGCAGCAGCAGCAGCAGCTGCAGCAACAACATTCAGTGAGCCCGTCTAAATTGGCTGTATATATGACATATAATTAATAGATGTAGATTCGACGGGAGCACAGGAGAGACTAACTTTAGTGCGATGGTGTTCTTGTGCGGCAGAGGACCTTTTTATTATTTTACGATGTATTAATTGTATTTAGTTGAAGTTTATATATAAATATAAAATATATCCTATTACGTACGGGGACGAAGTGCAAATCGTCGCTGGGTTGAGTGTGAGTGCGTATATATGTGTAGTGATTCAGAGTTAGCGTGTGCGAGAGCGTTTGTTTGTTGTAGCGTGTACCTTACGGTACATGAAAAGCATAATTATTAACAAACGACTAAAGTATTTAAGCTAGGTAAAAAACGTATTGTTTAGATAAACATGAATGAAAATAAAAACTTAGTAATAGTTGAGCGCGTTGACTGACGATGCCCGACAATTCGATACGCGTATATACAAAATATTCAAATATTACAGGATTCGCACCCTATTATCCTAGGTAAAAAATCAACGCAAGGTCGCATTGGATTGCTTGTTTGTTTTAGACGTGAACTGATTTATATATACATGTATGTATTATTATCTCAATGGTATGTAGTATTTCTCTCTCACTTTTATCCCCTAAGTATGATACGTACTTAAGCCTAGCTTATAAAAAATAATAATAATAATAATAATTATCCTGAGGTTGCGCGATTTACACGACTAAAGAAAGTAACAGCTTTCCACTAGGGTTCGAAACAAAGTCAACAGACGTCTCTCTAATGGAGATAGAATTGCTATTGATACAGTCCCAACTCGTCGAGTTCCGCATTCGAGTCCCAAAGTCTATATGCTTTGCTCGTGGACAAGTTGGATCTATATTAATAAGTTCGTCCGTGTAGTTTGAAAAATTGGCCTCGTTCGAAGCGAGATGTTCACCCTAGTCTTCCTAAACGAATTGTATAAAACGAAATTAATAAAAAATATAATAATGCTTGAAATCACTTTCATAACTTGTAAAGTATTTCCTCTTCAAGATATTATTGCTATAACCCAAACCACAATATGTATGTTAGATTAGCTTCAAAATTTTCGCACCCACCAAGCTGGATGGACGGCGTTTTCATGACAAACTGTATCACGCTCATAAAATCAAAGGTAAGCTTTCAATGATTTTTCATGATTCTTGCTCTAAGTTTGTTAGGAATTGTTTACATTTTTCAAAAAATCTAAACAAATTCATTCGTTAAAACTTTTTGATGTTATTTTTGAATTCAAAATTCGTGCAAATATCGAGTGTCTGATTAATTTGCTTGAAATCGTCCATCCAATCTTGCACATTTTCGCTAGTTATATTTTCTATATGTAGACAAAAACACCTATTAAAATTTACGTAGCGTAAGGTATAAATGAAAACTGAAAGTTTTAGCGTTTTGAATAATTTTGATACATGTAGATATTTTAGATGCTCGCGAAAAGTTGCAATAATTGCATGTACCGTTTAAACAGTTTGTGCAGGTTGATTCGAGATCGGGGAGCAAAATTTGCTAATTTATGAAATATTTCAAAACGTATAACTCATGTGTATATTGTTAAATAAATATTCGTAATGTAATGCTAAGACGCATTGATCTCGGGTAATTAAAGTTTCCAATAACTAATCCTTTTACAATATCTTGCCTAAAGACACAAAATATTACAATATATTATGGCCTCTAATACGAATTATGAAAGCAATGGAAGCTTCGTTTGGTGTAATAAGTATTAGTACTGTAAAATACACTCAAATTACATAAAGAGATTTGTCGATATTCTGTGCGTTTTAAACATTAGCGGGTTTCGTAAGCGTTGATTAAAAAAATGATATTTATGTAGGGAGTGAACGCGATGCTCGATGACATAACGAGCGAGCAATCCGTTTCCCAGCAGTATACATGTATTTAAAGTGAACAGCGTTGTACAGGCAATTGCACGATAATAACCAGATGAATTGAGTATTTTCTTCTGTCTTAATAAGATACGACCTTTGAGCAGGAAAATTTACAAAAAAATGCGACGAAAATTTGTAATTTCATGCAGATTCGAGATTCAAAAGTCGAATAGGGCAAAACCGATTAAGATAGCAGGGACTACTCGAATTCATCATGCTACTGATACTGCAGAATTGAGGACAACAGAAAAAATTACGTCGAGCAACAGGAAACAATAGTTATTTGATACGATATACAAGTATTGATTAAATATAGTGAATGAAAAATTGAATTTAAATAAAAAAAACGACGATAAAATGAGGTGAAGATTTTTGGTTGCGACCCAGTCATCGCGTTTAACTGATTTCTTTATGCGAAAGTTGTAATAATTTGTATTTTTTACGATGATGACACAGTGTTTATAAAACGATTATCAAGATTATTATCGACATGATTATTGTAATATTATGATTAAATATTTTTAATTATAAGCGACGTTAATATTATGTTATTGTTTTTATTGTGTGTTGTTTTGTATATGTACCAATCTGCAAATTGCGTCGACGAAAAAAGAAATCATTCAACTGCTATAACAAAAAACGTAAGGTGTTTTTAAATGTGTATATTATCCTATTGAGTTCGTTGCTGTAGATATTTCCACGTTATTTTGTTTATCATAATATTAAATATGATTTGGAGCTTATGTATTTTTCGAATACCTGTTTCCCACCTCATTGTTGTTCTTTTTATAAGAAAATACATATATCGAGAACAATTGAATTTTTGTTTTTTTTCTTTCTCCGAATAAAAAATTTAAAAGAACCGTAACATTCATTTAATCTTGATTAAGAAGAGCTAAAAAAGAAAGCATGCAACATTCGTCACAGAGTCAATTCAAGTAAAAATGCACGAAACAATTATAAATTGCATTATAAATCAGATATTTTCGGCAAATTAAAAATTCATTGAAGTCTCCAAGTGCAATAAACGAATCGTTCATAGTGCCAAAATAAAGGAAGAGTAAACACTTTTAATACCTCAAATATGATCTTAATTAAAATAGATTTAGGACTGATTGAATTATTAATGTAATTGTAAACGTCAAACAATTTCTTATAATAATGCGTTGCTAGTGTATATTCAAACTTCTTATGAAGTTTTCCTTTTACAATCACAGATTACGAGGTAAAACTATGATAATACGTCAGTGCTTATAAAAAAATACTTTTGAAACACGTAAAATTGCTAAATATATATTATGTATCATAATAACTGTATGTGCGCTGTGTAAATAAAGGCATGTCTTATAAATAACATGAATTTTGGATATCGATTTGATGCAGGAATATTTGAACCTGCTATTCCTGCTTGTATTTCTTCTGGCTTCGTAATTTTATTTATGGATCCCCGTGCAAGTAGTTGATCAAAAAAGGTAAGTTACATTCCGAATTTCAATTCGGAAATGTGATTAAAAGAAATTCAATCTTTATCCAACAATTGGTAATAATTTTATATAAATAAAAGTTTTTTCCTGGAATTATTATTAATATTTTTTATTTCATTATTTAAATCAAGAGTATAACAAAACCAGATAATTTTTTCTAATTTTAAAATCAATTTCTAAAATGTTTCACATAATTACCCTATTTAATTGAAGAAATTAAATTTATTAACAGAGTGCTTGAACACACGTTATCGATGAATATTGTGCTGTCGATTAGCTTCGGTCATTTATTGCATTATTCAAATCAATGCCGAAATACTAATTTCGGCTAAAATTACATCTTCATTTTTCTACATTGTAATCCAGTTCCTATACGTGTATATAGACAAACGCATAAATTAAACAGTTGAAACCCTTCTGAATTTGATATATCCTCGAGCATGGATTATTTTCTTCCATGCTATACCTATAAAGAACAAAAGAGCTTAATTTAAAATTTGTAACACTGCAACTTCCAGAGGCTTTAAAAATATCTTAATTTTTCGATCTTTATACAGGTTGTATAGGCTCACTGATGATCCTTGGCAGCACGATTCCCACGCAAAAAAAAAATATTTCCTCCCGCTTCAACATACGTGTTCGTATAGCATTGCTTCATTATGATACATATTATGTACGAATTCTTCTGGTCAGCCTCTCAAATCGGTGGCTGTATACTTCTCGGAATCGAAAAATAGAAATGGCGAACTTCTTCGCGTTGGCTCGCTCAGATAATCTATGGCCACGAGCCTGCCTGGCAAGGAATAAAATAAAGGTACTTTCTATCCAAAAAGTCGACTTTTTCTTTGCTAATCGTGCCCTTAGCCCGTCTGATACCAAGAGACCCTATTTTTGACTTATTTTTCCACGCGTTATTTTTTCATGAAAACGTAGTTAAATTAATGTGGAAATACAATATTTTATGGGATTTTTATCGCTCTTTTCAAATCTGGCGTCAGATTTACAATATATGCAACCGTTTTAAAAATACATTTGTTTAAACAAAAAAAAACGTGGTTTTTGAACATTTTTTCTCAAAATGATCGTTTTTTTCACCACGATTACGCATTCGGATCGGCTTGAAACTCTGGATCTGGTGGCATACAGGCCTAAACTAAAAGTTAGCGGCGTTGGTTCATCCAGATTCAAGATGGCAGCCACCAAAACAGCTAATTGTAGCCGAAAATGTAAAAGAAAGCTTTGGTATTTTTTTATTCGGTAAGAATGGACTCTACGAAAAAATTTTATACGACAAAAAGTGTTTAGAATTGATAAAAGAATACGTATAAATTTTTTTAGAATTTTTCGGATGATTTTGAAAATTTTTGGATATGGATATTTTATAAAAATTTTCAAAATCATCCGAAAAATTCTGAAAAAATTTATACGTATTCTTTTATCAATTCTAAGCACTTTTTGTCTTATAAAATTTTTTCGTAGAGTCCATTCTTACCGAATAAAAAAATACCAAAGCTTTCTTTTACATTTTCGGCTACAATCAGCTGTTTTGGTGGCTGCCATCTTGAATCTGGATGAACCAACGCCGCTAACTTTTAGTTTAGGCCTGTATGCCACCAGATCCAAAGTTTCAAGCCGATCCGAATGCGTAATCGTGGTGAAAAAAACGATCATTTTGAGAAAAAATGTTCAAAAACCACGTTTTTTTTTGTTTAAACAAATGTATTTTTAAAACGATTGCATATATCGTAAATCTGACGCCAGATTTGAAAAGAGCGATAAAAATCCCATAAAATATTGTATTTCCACATTAATTTAACTACGTTTTCATGAAAAAATAACGCGTGGAAAAATAAGTCAAAAATAGGGTCTCTTGGTATCAGACGGGTTAGTAAGCTCGAATGTTTAGAATTTTTTCCTCTGCATGAATTGTACGCACGTGCCTACGAGAAATTGTTCGAAAATTGAATGAGTTCAAGCAAAAGTGAACCATAATTTCTTCGGAAACAGGAACTTTTCTAGTTTCAAAGTTGCCCTCCAACTTGTATTCTTGCTTCACTGCACATTCAGCTTTAAATTGAATTTTGTCATTCGAGTTAGCATAAGCCCTAGGGTCAACGAATGACAAGAAATGTCTAAATTTTACGGTTGCTACAAAGGGGAATAATAGTGGCAAGAAAAAGCGAGCGATTGAATGGAATCAGTAATAGTTTTCGAGCTATTTTAGAGAGTAAAACAAAATAAATATTTATTAAAAGAGTTTCTTTAAAAATTCGAAATAAATAACAGGGCATTTAAAAAAAAATTATGTAGTATAAAAAAGAAAAATAAAGGCTTTACCGATCAAAAAAAGTATTGGAAAAATTTCAATGCATTGACTAATCTAATACGTTACTTTAAACTATATTGTTTTTCGGAGACACCCCTATTTTCCACAACATCTGTAAAAATATTGTAACACCAAAAAAATTGGACAAAACAGATTTGTTCACATATTTAACGTCGTCAACATAATCCCTTACATTGTGAACCTCCTAGTCGGTTGAGGTATGCTCAAGTCACACTGCAATAAAATAATTCCAAAATATCTTAAGCGTCCGCATCTGATGGGATTAGAAACCTGCTGTTGGAAGTAGCAGTGTATAACGCGAGGACGACCGAGGTTTGTAAAAGTATAATATATTTATTAACTTCCTTGCTGCTAAACAAGTTTAAACATCATGCAGTAACCGGTTTTCTAACCATTTTAACCATAACTATATAATTTAAGTTCGCTCATGTATACCTATGATACGTGCTTGTCTCCTGCTTCTGGTTACTACTTTATTTAACTTTTAGCGCCTTATTTCATTTGAGATTACGCTTCCAGAAAAGTGAAGGAAAAATGTAATATTCGTCGTTTGCCTTTTATTCGTTGAAACGGCAAAGCTTCCATAGCGTGAAAACACGTCCGCCGATTTAAAGGAAAAATTTGCATCAAAAAAACGAGAAAAATTGAAAATAAACAAAGAAGAAACATCCGCAGCGGGATCCGCGAGGAAGATTAAAAGAGGAAGCGCAGAACGAGAGATGGTCAGTTTTTTTTTTTATACACGCATACACGCACGCACACGTATGAGGTACCAGAGGAGGTACCGCACCCATCGTTCTACATGCTGTGCGCTTCTGCCGCTGCTCTCCTCCCTTTTTGCAGACCTGATGCCGCGGGCTGATCAGCGATACACGACTCACCATTGAGCAATGTCCCCTACTACCTTTTATCCTATATGGCCCGCAACGAATCCCGATTCGTCGGCTCCCATCTCTTTTATTATATGTATATTCTTGGAAGCTCATCGAGGATTTTACCTGCGTGCCGGTGTATACCTGTATGAAATGTGTTTTACAATGTAGACTACCTTACGCACACGGTCGCGCGTTCACCATCGCTCGAATTCACGATGGGGACCCGTGCATATGATTGCTGCCTGCGTATTTTCACATATGAATTGGCCTCTTTAAATTAAGTGCTTGATGCATTTTTCAGCTCAACTCGTCGAATGTTTCGTGGCGATAAGTAAGGGACGCAACGATATCAATGATCTTTTAACGCGTCTCTCGAGTCTCTTGAATTTTCTTCGCCTACATTAAAATATAATTTATAGAAGGTCTCGTTCTCGTCGAGGAATTCGCACCGAGTAAAACGTATAAACAAATTATTGACTCAGAACGATGCGAAAGCAATATGTATAATACTATGTGTACAAAGAGTAGATTGTAAGTTACCGAAAAGTATTCATCGTATTGATGAGAATGGATCGTAAAATATAAATTCTTCGGGTATTTTCAAAAGCGATATAAAAACTTGATCTCGGTAGGTATTAATTAATAATACATTCATTCTCTATTATAATTATTTCTAGTATCAGAAAGAAATTCAATTCTCAAATACTAATAAGAATATAAAACGATCGCCACGTCGAGCTACTGTTGTTCACAAACGAGTCGATTGATACATCATTACAATTTAAAACTCGTCAATTGAAGTCCTTGAACCAAGAACGACTCGGATAAAAGGGATCGCGTCGATTAACAACATTGTACACTACAATGTACAATCATCGAGCCAGAAAAAGCTCGAAACGCGTACGCGAACTTCGTGCAAGTTTTCGACAATTCGAAACGAGAAGAAATAAGTTTTGAATGAAAATTCTGGTCGCGTGCAGCCATTTCCTGGTATACAACATAAATTCACACATATCAGAACTATTTATCACCCTCTCCTGATTCAAATGCAGCTGTCCTTGCGAGTGGACAGGCGAATCCAGCTCGTTTAGCACAATGTTTACGATGTATACGC